CTAGTGGCATAGTAGTATCAAGCATAGAAGCAGTTTCATCATAAGTATCATGCATAGCAGAAGTGGCATCATCAATAACATGCGACATATCGGAATTAATAGCAGAAGTAGGTATATGTGTCGCAAGCTTACTTAAAACAGAAGGTGAATCAAGTGCAGAGCTAGATGGCAGTTCCTTACCTCCCCTCGAGTTGAGGGATAAATTTTTGTTTTAGCGTCTTTCAAGTTCTTCATAATGATAAGTCCCAAGTGACTCAAAGAATAGAGCTATGCTCCCCGGCAATGGCACCAAAAAATAGTCTTGATAACCCACAAGTATAGGGGATCGCAACAGTTTTCGAGGGTAGAGTATTCAACCCAAATTTATTGATTCAGCACAAGGGGAGCCAAAGAATATTCTCAAGTATTAGCAGCTGAGTTGTCAATTCAACCACACCTGGAAACTTAATATATGCAGGAAAGTGTTTAGTAGCAAAGTAATATGATAGTAGTGATAACGATAGCAAAAGTAATGATAGCAAAAGTAATGTTTTTGGTATTTTGTAGTGATGATAACAATAGCAACGGAAAAGTAAATAAGCAAAGAACAATATATGGAAAGCTCGTAGGCAATGGATCGGTGACAGAGAATTATGTCGGATGCGGTTCATCATGCAACAGTCATAACCTAGGGTGACACAGAACTAGCTCCGGTTCATCAATGTAATGTAGGCATGTATTATGAATATAGTCATACGTGCTTATGGAAAAGAACTTGCATGACATCTTTTGTCCTACCCTCCTGTGGCAGCGGGGTCCTAGCGGAAACTAAGGGATATTAAGGCCTCCTTTTAATAGAGTACCGGAACAAAGCATTAACACATAGTGAATACATGAACTCCTCAAACTACGGTCATCACCGGTAAGTATCCCGATTATTGTCACTTCGGGGTTAACGGATCATAACACATAATAGGTGACTATAGACTTGCAAGATAGGATCGAGAACTCTCATATATTGATGAAAACATAATAGGTTCAGATCTGAAATCATGGCACTCGGGCCGTAGTGACAAGCATTAAGCATAGCAAAGTCATAGCAACATCAATCTCAGAACATAGTGGATACTAGGGATCAAACCCTAACAAAACTAACTCGATTACATGATAAATCTCATCCAACCCATCACCGTCCAGCAAGCCTACAATGGAATTACTCATGCACGGCGGTGAGCATCATGAAATTGGTGATGGAGGATGGTTGATGATGACGATGGCGACGGATTCCCCTCTCCGGAGCCCTTGAACGGACTCCAGATCAGCCCTCCCGGGAGAGTTTAGGGCTTAGCGGCGGCTCCGTATCGTAAAACGCGATGAATCCTTCTCCCTCAGTTTTTTCTCCCCGAAAGTGAATATATGAAGTCTAGGTTGAGGTCGGTGGAGCGTCAGGGGGCCCACGAGGCAGGGGGCGCGCCCAGGGGGCAGGCGTGCCCCCACCCTCGTGGATAGGTGGGGCACCCCCTAACGTGGATCTTCCTTCCAATATTCATTATATATATTCCAAAATAATGCTCCGTTGATTTTCAGGACATTCCGAGAACTTTTATTTCTGCACAAAAATTACACCATGGCAATTCTGCCGAAAACAGCGTCAGTCCGGGTTAGTTCCATTCAAATCATGCAAGTTAGAGTCCAAAACAAGGGCAAAAGTGTTTGAAAAAGTAGATACGACGGAGACGTATCACCCATCATTGGAATATACAAGCCAAGTTCTATAATGAAAAATTCCCACTAGTATATGAAAGTGACAAAATAAGAGACTCTCTATCATGAAGATCATGGTGCTACTTTGAAGCACAAGTGTGGAAAAAGGATAGTAACATTGTCCCTTCTCTCTTTATAAAAGTGTAAAATAAAGCCCCAAAATAATATAAAAGTGTAAAATAAAGCCCACTAACATCCAAAACAGGTAATTTAATAGCATGGAACAATCAAAATTATAGATACGTTGGAGACGTATCAGGGGCGTGCACCGACGCGCGATGATGGCTATCTAGCCGGACGTGACAAGCAGAGTCACACCCGGGCCGAAAACCGCAGACAGACTCCATCCGAGCTGCGCCGCGACTTGGCCCGATATGGAGGCACCGTACACCCCCTTTGCTTCACTGATGAAGTAATGGAGCATGAATTCCCAGAAGGGTTCAAACCTATGAATATCGAATCATATGATGGAACAACAGATCCCGCGGTTTGGATTGAGGATTTTCTTCTCCATATTCATATGGCCTGCGGTGATGATCTTCATGCCATCAAATACCTCCCACTAAAATTAAAGGGACCAGCCCGGCACTGGCTAAACAACCTCCCAGAAAACTCTATTGGCAACTGGGAAGACCTGGAAGACGCCTTTCGCGACAACTTCCAAGGTACATATGTCCAGAGACAAGGGACACGGAGTTTTACCCAGGTTCGGGCCCTCTTGATAGAGGTAATACCCTACGGCCTACTTGATTAATATTGATGAGTATCGGGGTTACAAGAGTTGATCTACCACGAGATCGTTATGGCTGAAACCCTAGAAGTCTAGCCTATATGATTATGATTGCCTCTACGGACTAAACCCTCTGATTTATATAGACACCGGAGGGGACTAGGGTTTGTACAAAGTCGGTTACAGAGAAAGGAATCTTCATATCCGAATGCCAAACTTGCCATCCACGCCAAGGAGAGTCCCATCCGGACATGGGTGAGAGAATCTTTAGTCTTGTATCTTCATGGCCCAACAGTCCGACCCATGTCCAACAGGCCGGACGCCTGAGGACCCCTTAGTCCAGGACTCCCTCAATCAGGTCACATGAAGAACTCACCGAAGAACACATCATGAAGATTGACTGATTGATGATATGTCTTACAATGGATGGCAGATGTGATGCACAATTACAAGTATGGCTAAATGACTGAGAACTATGGTGGTGATGAAGGTGGTGGCTATGGATATGGATATGGGCCATCTCCATATCCATCTAACCTACGAAGATGACGATGTGGCGGCCTGTTCTATTGCTTATTCGGCGTCGAGCCTTTTATAAAGGTTGTTCAGGTGGATCAGGCACCTCTGTTGGCACTCCATATGACCATCGATGCGAGCGGGGATGGTCGCATAGAAGGCCGTCTTTTGCTCTGTTTCCTCTGGTGCGCCTCCCACTTGATCTCCTCTATCTCCACTTTACTCCTTTCCATGTATTGGGTTAATTTCGTCCATAAATAACACACTTTTTTTGACCTTGCATAAATAACACACTTGCTATGGAAACAAAATAAAGCTCGGATATGTGGAATCCTTTGCATTCATCAGTGATTAGTGATAATATGAGAGCGAATATCTCTACTTTGATAAAATATTTTGGTTTAAACTCAGGTTAGAGGAGTATAAAAATAACACCCATCACTTGTCCCTATCAAAGTGGAGCGTGGAGTGGCATTCAACCAGGCTGCAATGTTCGGGCTGCCATGTCGGCTCCTTTTCAGGAATCATGGGTTAGACCCCTTTATGGTTGGCACGGTAGTCATGACCTCGTCGGACCTTCATTATTTCAATTTGATAGTTTGGACGAACCTCAATTCTTGTCACCCGATTCCAGGGCAGCTACAAGGCTTCAGTTGGCTTAGGGTTTTCCACCTCCTTTTGATTAGACGGTTGGTTATGAGATTCTTCCTTAGTTTCCCGTCTTCTCTATCTTTTTCCTCACTTCACTTGGCCGAGCTGCAATGTTTCCATTGCTCATCCTTAGAACTCTTCTTCCATCAACCTTGCCTAGTGTACAATGCGACTTATGAGCTAGAATCGTTTCCCCTTTGTTAGTTCTGGTTCCCCAAATTTTCAAAGTCATGACGCCCTCTTCCACGAGTCGGTAAGATCTTAACCACTGAATCTGCACACTCGACAACCTCCGAACTTTTACATGATGTTCCTTTTGCCACTCCATCTTGGAGAATCTACTCGATGAATCATCGTCACATGTGCCTTTGGTTGTAACTATTCACCATCAAGCGACATTTCAGAAGGGGACTCACAAACTCCGATGCTTGCCTGTCCTACAAAAGTACCGAAATAAATGGAGCATATTCTTCATTGATCGTCCATCCAGCAAACATATCTTCCGGTGCCTGCTCTTGATTCTTGAAAGTTTGGTGGAAAGTGCTCATCGCAACACCAAGATCTTTATACACGAGTGTGAAGCTACATCTTATGCTTTTTGCCATTGCACATACGACATCATTCTTTGGTACTCCCTCCGATCCATATCACTCGTTGCTCAAACAGATGTATGTAGCACTAAAATACGTCTAGATCCGCATAATTGTATGAACAATCTTGATGGTAAATTCACATAATTCTTTTTTTTTTTTGCGGGGGCAATTCACACCATTCATCTTGCTTATTGTTCATCTTGATGGTAAACGTGTCAATAATTACAACATGTGAGAGCAGGTTCTTATAAAAAAAAAATCTAGCGCTAAAGCTAAGAGGAAGAAAGGGTGATACCAGAAGAAAAGCCGTGGATCAAATACATCAAGGTTTGCCCTAAAAAAAGGCATCACGGTTTGCCCTAAAAAAAAAAGGCATCGCGGTTTTCTAACGTGCATCGCGAGCGCTCAACGCTGCCAATTTTTCCTTTTGAGGGCTTCGACGTTGCCAACTAGGCTTTCAGTTTACACGGCCCAGCAGATCCGCATTCTCCTCGTCGGCCCTACTTGTTTTGTAAGCCCGGAGAAACAAGTAACATCGGCCCAACTAGCCCAACCACCCATTCCGGCGAGCGAATCCACGCCGTCCACTCCCGATCGAACGCCCTGACGCGCCCACGCGACGGACCGCAAATAAACCCTAGTAGCACACCACCTATATATTCCCCTCCCATCGCCACATCCGGCCGCCTCCACACACTCCCTCCCGCCGCAAAACCCTAGCCGCCGCCGCCCCAGGTAAGGGAGAGAGCCCACCCCACGCCGCCGCCATGAAGCGCAACCCCCGCGTCACGAGCTCCCGCCGGAAGTGCCGCAAGGCGCACTTCACGGCGCCGTCCTCCGTCCGCCGCGTGCTCATGTCCGCGGCCCTCTCCTCTGAGCTCCGCCACAAATACAATGTCCGGTCCATCCCCATCCGCAAGGATGACGAGGTGCAGGTCGTGCGCGGCACCTTCAAGGGCCGCGAGGGAAAGGTGGTGCAGGTCTACCGCCGCCGCTGGGTCATCCACGTGGAGCGGATCACCAGGGAGAAGGTCAATGGATCCACGGTGAACGTTGGCATCCACCCCAGCAAGGTGATCGTCACCAAGCTCAAGCTCGACAAGGACCGCAAGGCCCTCCTCGACCGCAAGGCTCGCGGCCGCGCTGCTGACAAGGCCAAGGGCAAGTTCACGGCCGAGGACGTCGCCGCCGCCGCTGGGGGTGCCACGGCCACCGGCGCCTCGCTCCAGGAGATCGATTAAGCTCGGTGGATCTGCCGGTTGCCATACTGCTCTTGCTATCCTAGTTTTTTAATATCACCAGTCCTGTTAGGATATGCTACCTGAAATATGCTCCTTTATCATTCGTAAGATGTTCGATGGTGACGTTTGGGAACCTTTATTAATGTGAATCTATCATGTGGCTGTGCGTTGGATTTTGATATAAAGTCTTCGTTATATGTTTAATATCTTGTTCGTTGTTTGTCGTTTAGATCTGGTTCATGTTATTATGTTCTCTCTACCTGTGTGCACCTGTAGAGATTAAAATCACCACCCGTTAGTTCTCAGGTTAGACTGATCCTTGTCTAGTGTTAGTTCATTGTGGTAGTTGCTCTTTCGTTGTGTTTATGTGTGCTCTGTATCGATTTGCTAGATCATACTAGATGGTCTGTAGTTTTTAGTCAGCCATAGTTAAATATCTGCAAGGGAAATGTTAAGCTACTGCAAGTTACTTGCACAATTGATGGTGAATTCTTCCTGCTTTTAATAGGCAATTGCGATGCACCATTTGTGTTTCTAATAGCAGTCAGGATCCTTCTCTGGTCAGGTTGCATTAGTTTTAGCAAGAAATTTCAGGTTCATTGAAAAGAAATTTATAACCACCCTAGTATTTGCCTACATTTGACTAGTCTTCTGATTCGAGTGATTCAGATAACTGTGCGTGTGTGGCCCTTGAATTTATTAGGACATTCAAAGGAACATGGTTGGGTGTTGCTTTGTTTTTTTGGGCGTGTTTGCTGGTAGTTTCTGTTGAAATGTTACGCAATGGATCATTTTCTGTTCCTCTACTTGGGGCTTCTTCTGCTGAAATGTTGGGGCTGTTTGGTTCTAGGACTAGTATTGCCATACTTTGCCACACATTTTTGCCAAACTTGCCTAAGGTTAGTTCATCAAAATGAGAGCCACAAGTTGGCAAGCCTAAGGGAATCTTGCCACACTTTTTGTGTGTATGCCATGTGGGACCCAAGTGTGGCTTGTCTAAGGTGTGGCTTGAACCAAACACTCATCTAAGTTGGTCAAACTTGCCTAACCTTAGGTGTGGCAATCTTTGGCAAAGTTAGTCACAAACCAAACAGCCCGTTATGCAATGAATCATTTTCTGTTCCTCTACTTGGGGCTTCTTCTGCTGCTGAAATCTTATACAATGAATTGAGTGCTCAGGCTTTTGCTGCATTCTTTTCCATGAACATCCCTCCAAGAGTGTCCTATATTCATGGCAACATGAATTTTGTCCATTCGTCAAATTCTCTGCTTATCATCAAACAGAAGCATCCCTTGATACTGTTTTTCTGTTGTTGGCTTGTTGCACATACACTGAATTCTCAAATAGTCTGATAGAATGTGGGCAATTTGATGTGGGCAGTTTGTTGCATGTTAGAATATGATTTTAAAAGATTTTTTGCGACGATGACTTCTGCTGGGTAATGTGCTGCATGGCCGGATGATTGGATTTGCATTTAGTAACGTTTTACAGTGATATGGTTGTCATACAAATTGTACTCATCTTATTTTCCGTTATACTATGTGAAAGTATCTGAGCGTTTTACATTATTTTCTGTTATACTATGTGAATGTATCTGAGCGTTTCATATTTGCAACGGGTGGAGCCTGCAGTGCTGCTTGTTCGCTGGTCGGGTTTATGACTTCCAAAAATGCAGGCTATATCACACAAATCGTATAATTAGTAATTAATGTTCAATCATGATATTTGCTGGATGATTGCATCTTTGGATGAAGTTGGTGATAGTATTTTTGGGCATACTGTAAGAATGACTGATGGTCAGTTTGAGATGGACAGTGGTACTGCAGTGTTGTGTTGGGGTTTTTGATTTTCCTATGCATCACGGCAGTGTCTGAGACGCCGGGGACAGCTTTGTTGTCAAAGATTGAAAGAAAGTCGGCTGTCGAGCAGGGATCCAGGATAAGAGGGGTCTTGGAGTCGTTGTGTTGTTCATTTGAGTAGACTGTGCAAACCCTCTCTAGCCCCGTCCATTCCAACCTCTTCGAAAGGATCCTAGGTCACCGAGCTCCAATGGTCCGAAACCAAGCAACAAGGCAATGTCCTCTCTTCGCGTCCTTTGATCCTCTCCACAAGAAACCATTGCTTTTATTAGTAGTAGCCCACCACCTTGAGAAAGCATCAACGTTCTCTATGTCCGTAATATATATCAAACTTTGTTAATCTATGACCGAAGACCCATTACATGTTTAATATCTGTTTTGTTGTTTGTCGTTTAGATCTGGTTAATGTTGTTATTATGTTTACTACCTGTGTGCACCTGTAGAGATTAAATTCACCATCCGGTAGCTCTCAGGTTAGACTGATCCTTGTCTAGTGTTTGTGGCACATGTCAGATACTGTAGGTATAGTATTAGTTCATTACCGTAGCTGCTGCTTTGTGATGTTCATGTGATACGCTCTAGATGGCCTGTGTAGTTTTTGGTGCCATAGTTAAATGTCTGCAAGGGAAATGCAAAGCTAGTGGGAGTTGCTTGCCCAATGGATGGTGAAATCATCCTGTTTTTGTAGGAAGTTGCAATGCGGCATCTGTGTTTGTAATAGCTGTCAGGTTCCTGTGTTTCGACCTCTGTTTAGTTTGCATTAGATTTAGCTAGAAATTTCTGGCTCATAGTAAAGAAATTTATAACCACCCTAGTATTTGCGTACTTTGACTAGTCTTGGATTAAAGTTGTCAGATAATTTTGCGTGCTTTGCCCTTGATTTTAGGACATTCAAAGGAAGTTTTTTTTTGGGTGTTTTTGTGCTTATAGTTTCTGTTGCTCTACTCGGGTCTTCTTCTGCTGAAATGTTATACAATGTATCAGTGTACTTGGGGCTTTTGGTGCATTCTTTTCCAGTATCATCCTTCCAAGATTGTCCTATATTCATGGCAACATGAATTTTGTCCGTTGGTCAAATTCTCTGCTTAACATCACAACATAAGCATCCTTGATACCGTTTTTCTGTTGTTGGCTGAATTCTCGAATAGTTGGTGATAGAATGTGCAATTTGGTGAACGTTAGTATACGATTTTAAAAGCATTCTGCTGTGTGATAGAATGTGCAATTTGATGAACGTTAGTTTACGATTTTAAAAGCATTCTGCTGGGTAATTTCATCTTTTGGTGCTCTCCATGATAAGTTGCAAAATACAAGATGCTTGACACAAGTTCTTCAAATAATTAGACATCCTATGGTATGGACTGCTATGACTGAATGATTGGATTTGCATTTAGTAACATTTTTCAGTGATTTGGTTGTCATACAAACTGTACTCGTAATTTATTTTCCCTTAATGTGAAAGTATCTGAGCGTTTCACATTTGCAACGGGTGCAGCCGGCAGTGCTTGTTTGTTCGCTGGTCGGGTTTATGACTTCCAAAATACTAGTATTACTGGACAACAAAATGCATGCTATTACACAAATAATATAATTTGTAATTGATGTTCAATCATGATATTTCCTGGATAATTGCATCTTCGGAAGCAGATGGTGAGACGTATTATTTTTGGACATACTGTAAGAATGACTGTTGGTCAGTTTGAGATGGAATCAGTGGTACTGCAGTGTTCTGTTGGGGTTTTTGATGATCCTAGCATCACGGCAGTGTCTGAGACGCCGTGAACAGCTTTGCTGTCAAAGATCGGCACTCGGATCTAACCAGTTTCTCCTCATACCGGCAACCACCAAAGCCGCCGGGTCTTTACGCCTTGCTCTGCTACGAACCGATTCCCTGACCGTGTCAGACTGAAGATCAACAGCGCCACACACCTTCAGGACTGAAGATGATGAACCAAACCTCCCTAGCGGTCGAGTTAAACCTCCGCTCCAATCTATCGGCCATCCAACATAGATTGCCCATAATCACTTCGCATTCAGCAGTTCTTCCACAGCATCGGCGCTAGCACGCACCGGTTGTGCCCAAAAAGAAAACCATGTATGCTGAACTAGACGAGTAGGCTCCAATAGCGGTCATTCTCCTTCTAAAGTTGTCATCTTCCTCTCCTAGCGCCGGCAAATCATGAGCAATCTGCATTGGAATGTCTAGCTTCTAAGTACCATCGTGTGATGTCTCACGCCTTTTGCTTAAAAAGGGAAATGGCGATGAATAGTCTCAAGACCACTTCTACCATTAATCCAATGGTCCTCCTACAATCTTGCGCGGGCGCCTCTCCCAACCACGTTTACTTACCACAAGTAAAATCTTTTTGGCCTCTTTAAGATTGAAAGAAGGATAAGAGGGATCTTGGAGTTGTTTGTAGGCGGGATGTGTTGTTCATTTGAGTAGACTGTGCGAACCCTCACTAGGCCCGTCCAACCTCTTCCAAAGGATCCTAGGTCACCGAGCTCCAATGGTCCGAAACCAAGCAACAAGGCAATGTCCTCTCTTAGCGTCCTTTGATCCTCCCCAGAAGAAAGCATCACTTTTGTTAGTACTAGCCCACCACCTTGAGAAAGCATCAACGTTCTCTATGTACCTAATATACATCAAACTTTGTTAATCTATGACCGAAGATCCACTTTGGAAAGAGAAGAAACCGCCATTGGTTGCCCTAAGTGGGTGCAAGGAATGCTGGAACTAGGGAAAGGAAATGATGAGCATATTGTAGGAGGAAGGGAAAGGAAATGATGAGCATATATTGTAGAAAGGAAATGATGAGCTCAATCTCCTCACACCAAATAAGAGTTAGGGTGCTCTTGTTCATATTGGTTCTTTAGCCTAGGCATAAAACCTAGAAGCTTAAAGCTCTTCTATAGCTGGCTTAAGAAGCATCATCGTGTCATTTTCAACATGTGTCATACACCCCCAAAGCCAAAGACTAAAACATACACATCTCTTCCATCTTACAAATCATCACATCGAGCACATCAATCACTAGTAGAATTAGAAGAGGCGATCATGGGTCGCCCTATAGAAGCCCCTAGCGTGGCCTGCCATTAATCAGAACATGAGTACTCATAGTTGATAGAGCCAACACAACCCAAACACACCATCATGGGCTGAAGCCCTCATGATTTGCCACAATAAACCAGTGAAGCCCAAAGGTCGAATCCAACTCATGAGCAATATCCAACTTAAGAAAGACAATGTGCGCATTCTTCTATGAAAAGTCCTGGACGATTGCTTCACAAGCATAACATTATATTTGACGATGAAATACACCGGGGGTGGCTTCTCGGAGCGGCGCCCGACAACAGTCCTGTCACGGGACCCATATGGCTCAGGTGAAGCCCGATGACAACAGGGAGCCCGGAGGCCCGGATAGAGCTCGGGGACGATCTTGTTGAGCAAGCCGAGATGGCGGCGGTGCAAGATCGGTGAACCCCCATGTAAATCCTAGCCCGTGTATTTATATAATACGGGGCTAGGGAAAGCCATTCCCATCTACACCTGTAGTCTATGCTTTCGGTAGCAAAACACCATCTCCGTTGTAATCCCTCGCACGAGGAACTCCACCATGAATATAGATCAAAAGCAGGACGTAGGGTATTACTTCTTCCAAAGGGCCCAAACCTAGTTAACCCCCTCGTGTGATCTCCTTTCTAGCACTTCCTGTTGCGTTCGCCACCCTACCGATGGTATTGACCTTCTACGTACCGTTAATAGTGAATTATGCTATGACTTATGGAAACACTTTGATTTGCAGTAGTCAAATTATTCATCTTCGGCTTGACAAGCAATGCGAGTAATTTCATGGGAATCTATGCAAACCCATGAATAAGGCTAATTGGCATACACTCATAGATATCGCTCACCCAGTCCTTCTTTTAGCACAAGAAAATAAAAGCCCGATTCAAAGTATGAAAACTTTATCCATCACAACTAACCAAATGTCTCACCATAACCACAATACCGTCCTTAATGATAGACTAACAACATTGAAATAATATGGCCGAAAATCCAACCACGTTGGTGACTTATCAGACGACAATTGTTTGATCACTCCACAAATCTCTCCCATTGGAAATCCACTTCAAAAGCCGAGAAATCCAACACCAAAAAAGGAATCCAAATTCAAAGAAATCGACCTTTTGGCGTACCAATCAACTCAATGAAAATGTTCGACAAGAATTTCTCCATATTTGACGGTGTAGTACAACGGGGGTGGCTCATCCACAGGGATGGCCCAAGAGGCCCACTGTGTACCTAACGGCAGTAAGGAGCCCAGAGGAGCAGATGGGCATCCCCAGACCTTCTTGGCCTCCCAAGCCTATGCTGGCGGCGGCCTAGATCGCATCTAACATCAATATTTGAAATCCAAAGGTCATTGGATAAAGCTTGTTGGACCGAGTAGTTTTTCTTGTGGGAGAGGGCGAACATCATAGGTGCAATGTCGCGAGGACGCAATCCAATCAACTACGATAAGTTCTAGAACTCGGTAGAGTGCCCATTACCAATGGTGACAAGACTGGCAACCGCGAAGAGGTCACGGTCCTCATATGAGCACGGTGATCCCATACCAATCCAAGGCTCCTTGGTATCCATCCACTCAAACCAGAGCCAACAAAGACAGAGAGTTGTAGCAAACTTCTCCGGATTGAGCACATCCAAGCCTTCGTGCTTCTTGGGTTTACAAACAAGGTCCCAATTAATTTTGCACTTGCCTCCCGAGACCTTTTCAGTGCCCGCCCAAAGATATGCGCGACGGGTACTATCAATTTCCCTCCTAACTTCCATCGGGGTGTACAAGGGCATAAGATGGTAAATGGCAATGGCGGTGAGGATGGCTTTAACAAGGACACACGACCCGTGTAATCCACATGCCTTCCTTGCCAAGCAGGGAGTTTGCCTGCGACTTTATCCTCCAAGTGCTGAAAATGGATCCTCTCTAGGCGCTTGAACGACAAAGGTAGCCCCAGGTAGCGCATCAGGAACGTGGTGCGCATAGCCAGGAAAGGGTGGATGGCGTAGTCAATGTGAATGTTGTCACATTGAATGGGAGGCACTAGGCTTTTGGAGCAATTAGCAACAAGGTTGGTCACCTCCCCAAAAGAGGCAAGTGTAGTCACGAGGGATGTCCTCCTTAATAGGCTTGACAAAGATGGCATCATCATTGGCATAGAATGAGGTACGGATGGTTGGAGTTCTCCCACGTAGAGGGTGTAGATGCCCTTGGGACGTGTCCTTGTTGAGAAGGTGGTGTAGGGGGTTAATCGCCAAGACAAAGAGAAGCGGGGACAGTGGGTCCCCTTGTTAGAGTTAGAGACCGTGACCATGCTTCAACGGATCATCCACCACACCATTGATCAACGCCCTCGACGAGGCTGTGGGGAGGAGAGCCGAAACCCATTCCCTAAATCTGCTCGGAAAGCATGGTGCCTCAGTAAATCATAAGCAAATCCCATCTCATGGAGTCAAACGGTTTCTTGATGTCGAGCTTGAAAAGCAAGGTTAGAGTTTTGTTGCCATGAAATTATCATGGATGCTCCTCTTCTTTATAAAGGCATTGGACACAAGGTTTGTCATGTGAGGAGCAAGACGGGTAATCATCATTTTTGCAATAATCATGGCAATGGCATGGACGAGGCTAATGGGGCAATAGTCCGAAATGCTCTCCGCCCCATGCTTCTTTGGTATGAGAGCAATGTTCGCCGAGTTAAGCCAATGAAGGCTGGAAGTATGCAAGTTGAAGAAGTGTTTGACCTCGAGCACAACAACATCCTTGATGATCTCCCAAACAATCTTTGAATAAGGCTCCGAAGAAACCATTGGGGCACAGAGCTTTGTCACTAGGAAGATTGAAGATAGTCCATTTGTCCTCTTCCTCCGAGAAGGCAGCCCAAGGTCTGAGAGGACACAAGTGGAAGCTGGGATATTTCTTCAATTAATGTCAATGTGTCGGGGCCGTCCACATTTGGTGACCTCGGAGAAGTGGTTTTGGATACTTGGTTTTTGTGATCAGGATCGGTAACCCACCTGTTGTTGTGCTTGAGGCTAAAGATGAAATTCTTCCTTCTTCTATGATTGACCCGTAGGTGAAATAAGCGCGTGTTAGCATCTCCGTCCTTGAAATTGGTGAGTGGTGATCCTCGAGCGTTGCCTTTTTCGCGCATGATCAAGCACGACCATACTATTTTCGCGCACGGTCAAGTACAACATACTAACCACTTTTCGTTTGAGCCTTCTTCTAATATCACGTCCCTCGACACTTAAAGTCTATGCTCTTGTGCCACATCAAGTCGGAAAATGACCTCGAGAGCCATGTGAATTTCGACTTTGGTGTGCGCAAAGATGGTGTTGCTCCACTTCCTAAGCTTCTTCTGACCCGTCCTTCTCAGTTTGTGAAAGAGAACATGGTAGGAGTCAACATGATTCACACCTTGGCTCCAAGCCTCCTGAACCACACCCTTGAAATGCTTTAATCCTAGATAGATCTGTGTGATCCCGTGCTCGGGAAATACAAAAAAGAAAAAATGGTACGTTGAGGGGATCGTTCTTTGGGGGGCTTGTGAGAAGTCCTCCTCTGCTAATGTCGCCGGACCCAGGTTAAAAAAGCACGCCTTGATGAAGAACTGCTTGAGGTCTCATGTGGTTCAAGTGGACGGTGCATAAAACAGCACAAGGACCGGCGCCGGTGCGCAAAGGCTCTGTGCAGGGTGGGTGGGCCGGCATGATTCTTCAGCCTCACTCACCAGCATGAGACCTCTGCTGGCGCAGCCACGCGCAATCGCAACGACAGGCACCCCGAGCAACCATCGGCCGGTGCACCACGCCGCCCTGGAACTGTCTACCTGCTTGCTGGTGGCAAACGCGTGCACGCGGTGGCAACTGCTGGCCAGGGAACTGCCACAGCAACGCGTGCCTCAACAACGTCCAGGCCCTCCCACCTTCCGCGTCAGGGCGCCACCGGCAGCGACGGCCAGGACGAACACCCGTCTTCAGCAAAATATCACGGAGATGCAGCAGTAAAACAAACATATCTAAAACCGAAACGTCACCTCGCAACAACAAAATATCACGGAAATGCAGCGGTAAAACAAACAAATCCAAAACCGAAACGTCATATCGCAACAACAAAATATCACGGAAATGCAGCGCTAAAACAAGCATATCTGAAACCGGGCCGTCATCTCGCAACAAAATAAAAAGCACCATGAGGAGTCAGTGGCATGCTGACGAACAAAGGTGCCAATAATTGCGTTAATTAACCACGCACTTGCCCATGATGCTAATGCCGGCGAGTCGGCGGGCTTTCCTCGGCAATCTCTATCTAAATGAGGGACTTCTATAAGAGCAGGCTAATAATCATGACTAACTTCTATCGACGATTTCGACCAATATGAATAATCTGCACTGCGACTGAGCTTAGCAGACAGCGACAGGGAGCAAGAGCCAATGAGATAACACATAGTATAAGTTTGATATGGTATACAACTACTAATAATGTAATAAAAAAGCAAATTGTAGCTCACCTAATAAACATCCGCATCCATCCTAGAATCTTAAAACACGAAATGAAAAGCTTATATCATCTTACGCTAGGCTAGACTAGGGGAGCATACCCAACCGGATAAAATAACGGTCGAAACAATGCTAGATGACTGAGCTCACGCGCTGTGCGATGGCTTCAGTTTCTGAATCCAGTGCTTAAGCCCCTTCTTGTGGTCACTGCTCCTCAGCGCGTCCAGGCAGCCGCCCTGCGACATAACCGACTGGATCTTCTCCAGGGTTTTCACAATCTGCCAGAAATCCGGCCTCTTCTCAGGCTGCAACGCGCAGCACTCCTCAATCAGGGGTCTCACTACTGCTGGGCAGTAATCTTGAGGCTCCATCACTTTCTTGTTCTGAAACAAAACCAAAGGATTTAGTCAAGGAGAGAACGCGTACATCTTCTGATTACGTTCTGCAAAGAAGGCAAACTCACACTCATAATTAAACTCTTACATTATTCGCAACGGCATAAGCCACCTGGACTGGGGAGAGGTTCTCGAAAGGAATTCTTCCGGTCACCATCTCCCACAGCAGCAGTCCAAAGCTATATACATCCACCTTCCGGTTGTACGGCTTGCGCTTTAGCATCTCAGGGGCCATCCAGCGGTACGTGCCCTCATCGTCCACTAGCAGATCACATAACGTTTCCTCGCAGGCAATGCCGAAATCAGCAATCTTCACCTCGAACTTCTCATCAAAAAGGATGTTCTCGGGCTTAATGTCGCGGTGGACAATTCCCTGAGAGTGGATGTACTCCAACCCGCGGGCAATCTCCAGAGCGATGGATATGGTCCTCTCCAGAGGGAGGGGGTGGTGCTCTGGGTTGTGCAGGTATGACCTCAAGGAACCTCCAGGAAGAAGCTCCGTAATAATGTAATAAACCGGTCCACATCTATGAGCCGCTACAAGCTGCATTAAGAAGTTGCCAACAAAATGAAATCAGAAGTTACCAACAAAATGAAATGAGACAAGGTTAATCAATAACGAGGCATGATTCACTAATATTACGGACTGTGGTCAGCTCATATAATAAATAAACTTATTGGTGAATATTTTGAGCACTTGACGGCACACTGAAAATAGCAACGGTGCTTATCCTAAGATAACATCAACTTAATTTTCTTCTTCTGAAGGTGTATAGCAAGTTGGCAGACAATCATGAGTTGATTATAACAAAAGGTTCAAACATCCTCAAAGTATTTTTCTATTGCAAAAAAAGGAGCATGAACGTGCCCGTGTGATTTTATTAGATTGCATGACCACTATAAGGCTAAGGGAGAAAAATCAAACCAAACACTCTGCACTATCTATGCCCAGAGATATAATAAGAAAAACAGTACATCTTGAAAAGTCTGAATGTAATTATACCTTGATCACATTCTTATGATGCAGATGAGACAATGCATTGATCTCAGTGTTATATTGTTTGTCAAGCTTTGCAGCTATTATCCCACCAGCGTCAGGCTTAGGCCGGCGGATAAATTTAAGGGCAACCGGCTTATTGTCGTAAAGTCCTTTGTATAGCCGGCTATGTGCCCCAGAAGCAAACCTATGGCCAACAAGCAGCTTGGTTGGATCAAGTTCCCAATCAACTGTAGATTGCACCGCTTGAGCCATGCTAACCGTACGGCTCCTCACAGTCTCTACTGCACTAACCCTCCTCCTTCCCCCATTGTCAAAGTATCTTCTGGTCCATGAGCTATCCTTCTGAGAATTGTGCTTATCAGAGACCACCGGAGTCGAACACCAATCAGGGCTTGGACCCATATCACACCCTTCCCTGCCCAACGATTTGCCATAGACGCTTTTATCAGATCCCACACGCTTCGGGGGAGGGCTTGTGAACCTCTGACTGCTGGCCCTCGCTTCCCTGAATGTATCTGAAGGCACTACGCTGGGAAGAGGGGACTTGGATCTCAGCTTGTGAGGAGATCCATTAGCCTTTTGATGAAGGTTGGAGCCCTGACTTGTGTGTGCATTATTTAAGTAGCTAAGGAGCATCATCGAGCTTGGGCTCTTGACCAGGCTCCTCGCCCTTGGGGCCTTGGATTTCTCAGACTTTGCCGGAGGGCTCAAAGGAATCTCCAAACTCATCTTCTGCTTGCTGGCCTTCTTCTCATTAGGCTGAAGTGAGGCTCGAAGTGATGGCAAACTAGCAGTATGCTTCAGCGCAGCCACTGTTTCATCATTGCCTCGATCAATGGGCATCGTCACACACTTACTCATGCTCACAAACCTCTGAAGTCTCTGCTCCACATCCCTGCCAAGAGGAGCCACATGCACCCCATGGGAACTAACCCTTGTGTAGACGGTGTGCGAAAACTTAGTCCTCCTAACCCAGGAGGTCTCCGTGTCCATATTGCCGGGAACTAAGAACACGGGGAAACGCTGTCACAAGTGATCAGATTCCAACTTTGGAAGCTTGGATTAGCATGAACCACATGTTGAAGTGAAATTTCGAACAGAAGTCACAAGAAACGCCGCCGGGAGACCTTAGGCCAGGAATCGCAGCGATTCCTCGACCCATTTGCTGCCAAATTCTTGCCGCAAGTTGTAAAAAAGATGGGTGATGCACAAAGAGGTCAAGGGTCTGTTCAGTATCAAACAGATCCCTGAATCTTGCTGAAGAACCCGCGGCAGCCTGGCCTTCTCAAGTATCCTGAAATACAACACGAGGAAGAAAAGATTGTGAGCTGAACTTGGTACGCAACCGGTAGTATTATACGGGCAATTATTGCTTATATAAAATGTCCTGTTCAGCGAATAAAAAACAAAGCAATATTGATCATTATCGGCGGGCATTCATAGTTGAATACTCATTTGTAAATCAATAATGATTTGACTTCTTCTCAAGAATTAGCAGAATACAGGCACGAGCAGTTGGAATAACGCGGTTTTTTGACAGTTGGATTGCAGTGAAGCATTAGAGAAACTGCAGGAGCAAAAATTATGACCCGAACAAGCATCATCCAGACCATTTGATTTTCTAGTGAAGACATCGACTTTTCACGCAACGAGACGTCAGATTATGGGGCAACAATTCTCGCGACAAAAAATGAAAACGCGCAAAGCAAGATCTACTATTCCTTTTACCAAGATTATTATTAAATCCGAACACCCCGCCGGTATTATGACTTCCCAAACCACGACCGGAGAACATCTCAGGATAAGTTCAGACTCGGCAAACAGCACCTGAACTTTTCGACTCGACAATGGAGGGTAGGCAAAAGAAGTTCATCTAGGCAAAAAAAACCGGAGAAATCCAAAAGGCAATGATCCGAAAGCAGACGCAGGCCTCGCACAGATTTGCACAGTAACGGCATCGAAAACCCGAGGCGTACTATGAGCACAATGGTAAAGCAATCCGGAGCAGAGAGCTCGAAGAAACTTGAGCACTAGTAACCGGCGAAAAAGGATCCGCAAACAAACAGCGAACTTGCCTTTGTCAGACGAATGAATTCGATCGAGAAGCACCGAAAGCCGAGCTCACGTCTACGGACACACCAAGATAGACAGCCGACGGCTTTCCAAACGAGCATCCGGAGAGAAGCGGAAGAAGGAGAAAACAATAATCCGAGATGAGATGAGACGTGAGGGAGGAGGAGCAAGAAACCAACCAACCTTCCTTCCTCGAGGCGGCCGGGAGGTTGAGGGAGCCGAATCCGGATCAGAATGCCTGGCTTGCTGGCAGGTTCAGGTCCCAACCTCCTCCCTCTTATCCCCTCCCCTCTTTCCGCGGCGAGCTCGAGTAACAGAACCGAATCTGATCGGCCGAGGAGTCCGGGAGGGCGGGCGGGTGGATATCAGCAGCCAGGACGACGCATTCAAGGCCCGCACCAGAAAGAAAGGAAAGGGGCCCGGCCGCCCGCCCGGCCGCGCTGACACCCTGTCCTCCTCCCTCGCGCGCGGCGGTGGCCCGTGCCGTGTAGCCAGCCGGTGGGGCGCGCGTACGTACGCGGTACGCTGCTCCCCGTACAGCCCCGGGACTCCTGCCTCTCTCCTCTCCTCTCCCCTCCCGAGCGCGCACGGCTCTTCTATCTATACTATACTACCTCTCCTACCCCAACCGCATTCAGAGGAGGACCCGTCCGCGATACGGGAAGTCCCCGGGGGGCACGGCAGCAGAGGGGCACCGCCGCACCGGCTAGGGCGACCCGGTGGTGGGGCTGACAGGTGTCGACGGTGGCATGTGCGGGGATACAGACTACAGAGAACTGTCCAGCAAGATTAGGAAAGGAGTCAGTTTTGGAGGTGGAGGTGGAGGTGGAGGTGGAGGAGGAGTCAATGCCCGCAGCAGAGACAAGCCAGGTGAGGTAGGGGAGGGGAGGGCCGGGCTTGGCTCGCTCGTCCGTTGTGGAGTGTGGGGTGGCGGGCGGAGGTGGACGGAGAGGGACTGCGGGGTTGAGAATGTCGAGCCCTTTCCGCACGAAGAAAGCAGCCGGGCGTTTCTCCTCGGCGGCCTCCCTGACCCCTCCTTTTCCCTTCCCCACATTCTTTGCTGCCATTATTGGTGATGGTGATGGTGATCCCTCGTAAGCTAAGGATGGGATTCTGCGCGTCATAATCCTTAATGCTTTCTTTTTCTGTAAAATGCACAGTACTAGTGTAGCTGCAATTTTTCTGAGGCTGCGGTGGTTTTTAGGCTGAATGATGATATTTGTGAAGTCTGTTTAGGGGTTGTGAGGAGAGTGGGAATTGGTGGATCATTGTAGCTTACTGTTTATGGCAAAAAGGGAGGACCAATTTTTTCAATTGTTCGTCCTTTTGACACGGCTTATTTGGGTCCATGCAACATAAGACTAGGAAGGTTTGCAAGGAAACGGGATGTTGCCGACCTCTGCTTCTGCGAGAAATTTTTGTGCTCATGCTCATGTAGGATTATGTGTGTGTCATGATTCTCTTTTTTTTTCTTGTAACGTGTATTCATCCTTGGGCTGATATTTATTTTGACGATAAAAGGCAGGCGCTCTGCCAGGTTTCATATAGACATGGGAAAACAGAAAGTGTACAAAAGATATTTACAAGACTAAAAAGCTCTAGAAATTACATGCCATTGCCATAGCTAAACCCAACTGGACAAGGTTCTCCCTAACGAGGTAAGCAACATCTAACACCTGTAAAGAGGCGTTCTGGAAAAGCCTTTGATTCCTCTCTTTCCATACATGCCACACACACATAAATGAACACCCTGCCAAAGTGCTTCCGCCTCGAATGTTCTTCTTCCACCAGTCCTCGGGCATGGAAAAAAACCCGGGGCCGAGCTTGGCATGATCGAGGACCAGCCAGCAACGATACCCCAAACGCTTCGGACCAAAAGGCATCCCCGAGAGAGATGCTCGTTTGTTTCAAATTCGGTGTTACACAGACTCCAAACCTCCTCGTGAGGCCAACCATGGACAACAAGATGATCCGCGGTTAGCGCTTTCCGGTGAAGGTGGAGCCAAACGAACAACTTGCACTTTGGCTCAACTTTGGCCTCCCAAATCTTGTGTGCCTCGAAAGGAATCGACACACCTTCAAATTGCACCCTATAGGTTGAAGCCGCGGAGTAGATACCAATCGCCGAAGCCGTCCATGTGATGGCATCTGGAGTAGCCGGGTCAAGATGCACATCTTAAAGAGAAATCCATAGGCCGACAAACTCACAAATTTGAATAATCAGAGAGAAAATTCTGAAGGTTTGTATTCAATGATTATTGTGAAGACCTTCAAAAATAGTGAGACATTTGCGCCGAGCAATAGCAAACATGTATATATAAAGTCTGTTGAGGGGTTGTAAGCAAGAGTAGGAATTGGCTGGATCATAGTATTAGTTTATTGTTTATGGCAATGAAGAAGATAAATACTAGGAATTTACTAAGACTCTTCAATAATAGCATGTTTACAAAAAAACTCTATGGTGTTGACCTCTGCTTGTGCGAGAAATACTTGTTCTCATGATCATATATATCTGTCAGACCCATATACCCTATGTAACCAGTGACCTCACGGCATATTGTCACATGGGTCAAAATGAGACGCCACGAACAAGGGTATAAGGAAGAGGCCACCTGCCAATGTTGACGAGGATACCGGGTTTGGTATTTATGTCTAGTCAAAAGGCTACAAATTTGCAGTAAGAATTGACGACACAACCGCAACCTCATCACCCTGTCCCCAGTGTTGCCTCTCTGGCAACACGGTCGGAAGCCAACAACCGCGTCGCCGACCTAATTCCTCGTCACATCCCTACTCGCGGCCGTCACCGAAGGATGCTGCCGAGCTAAGCCCGCGTGGCGGACGGCGGCGGTGGGGGGGGGGGGGCGCTCTTCGCCTGGTTGTGGCGGCTCTCGGAGGCGGAGGCTCGGGCCCCTTGGCTGCTTTGGTTGTAGTGTGAGAGGGCAAGAGGAAGATGTTTTGTATGGAAAAACAACTATGAATTTTTTTTAGAAAATTGAGTAGAGAGGATGGTGTTGCCGACCTCAGCTTTTGTGAGAAAATACTTGTGCTCATGCTTGAATATGGTTATCGGAGCCAGACGCTATGATGTATTCAATGAATCCCGTCATGCTGTTACATGAGCCAAAATGAGACACCAGGAGCAAGGGTGATAAGGCATAAGCCCTCGGCAACGACGACGAGAATACCGAGGTTGGTGTTGGTAGTGGAATCGAAAAGGGTACAAATTTGTAGTCGTAGATGATGACATCACCGTAACCTACATGTGCATACAACATTCGGCGATTCTGGAAATGACACTTGATTAAAATGGACGGACTAGAAGAAGCGGGTTTTCACGAGAAAAAAACAATGGAACAAAATTAAAAAGATTGGGTGCAGAGGATGATGTTTTTATAAAACAAAAAAATGAGTGGTGATTTGAAAGAGAGACATTTGTAAACATATAGAGACTATGCTACAATTTACTATGAGTGTTAGATTTAAACTTAAGGTAGGACATTTGAGTATATGGATGTTTGAAACAACTAAAAAAATTGTAGTCATATGACGACATAACCACAACTCCATGTGCATGGAACATTCGACGATTCAACAAACATCGCGTGACTACAATTAATGGTCTAGAAGAATATGGTTTGCACGAAAAACAACTATGATTTTTTCAAAATATTGGGTAGGGATGATGGTGTTGCTGACGTCTGCTTCTGTGAGAAATACTTGTGCTCAGGCTCCCATATGATTAAAGGACCCATAGACCCGATATACCCAGTGACTTGTGGAGTGCTGCCACACGAGCCAAAATGAGACACAAAGATTGAGGGTGACGAGGAAGAAGCCCTCGACTATCGTTGATGAGGATATCAAGACAACGTTTGTTGTCAAATAAAAAGAACTACAAAATTTTAGTTGTAAAAAATAAAGTAATTGTAATCTACATAGGCGTGGAACAATCGACGATTCAACAAATGACACGCGACAAAGAAGATCGGTTGCATGAAAAACTGCTATGAAACGAATACCAAAAGATTGGGTGGCACGGTTAAGTCCGGGCGTTTGGTCTTTTCGATTTGCTTGGTCCGGTCTTTTCGGTCTTCCAAGAATTTGGTCTTCCATAACTAACAATCAAAATTATTTCGCTCTTTTCAGTTTTTCACTATTCGATCTTCGGTCTTTACAAGATGATGTTCGGTCCGACCAAACATACCAAATTCCATCCTGCAACTCAGACTCATGTAGTCTTTCAAAAACAAAATTCAGATCCATGTACATTACAGTATATGTGTACTATGCAAGTAGAATTCAGACAGCAAGTACGTGTAAACAGGTTTATGCAACCAAAATTAAGACTCCATGCAAAAAAAAAAACCCCAAATTAAGACTTTGGAAAACATGTGTACGTAGTAGGTGTGTTCCACCATAATTGTGTCATAAACATCTAGAGAAGACAGGGGATTATGCTAATTATGCCATATAAACATCTAAAGAATTGTGCTAATTCGGCCAATTTGGGTTATTCAGGACCGATCCGACCGAATTAAATTCGGTCTTCTAATTTTGATGATTGATTTTTGTTCTTCGGTCTTCGGTTTTTATGCCCAAGCTTAGAGAGGATGATGTTTTTGTAAAACCGGGAAGGGGATTATTTGGAAGAGAAGATCGAAAACATACAGGGACTATGTTACAATTTACCATTAATGTTGGATTAAAATCTATAGTGCTAGCACGTTTAAGTATATGTAAGTTTGTCCATAAAAGAAGTATATGGAGGTTTGAAACAGTAGTCGGTCAATCCATATGAGTGGGAGAACATGTCATGAGAGCTTGCTAGTACTACGACTAGCTTATACAATACTCCACCGGCTTAACACATATACTATATAACACAAATGTAGAGAAGGCACATTATTGGCTGCAACAATATTTGACCTATCGACGAGACTTTGGTGCCCAAACCACATGGCCAGTTTGAGGGATGCCCAACATGTTGGACTTTCCCATGGCGCCCCTGTTCACACCCTTCCTCACGGCCCCTGCCATGGAAGATCCCACCTCATTCATTCATTCATCCACTCATTCATTCATCTGACATTATTTCTCCCCTTACATTTGACATTTCTCCAACAATATTAGTTTCCTCTACTCAACCAGGCATTTCTCGACGGCTGGCCAGCCTCTGTCTCGCCCCAGGAGAAGATGAGACAGACAGCCCTGTCGCGCATGTCTCCTGGAGCCCTGACGGCCACTAGCGCTAGGCATGCAACGCCATGCCATGCCTGGAAAGGCGATGGATAGATCTTGGTGAATGGACAGCCTGAGAAATGGACGGGCCATTAATGCTTGGACGAGGAAAAATGGGTTCGAGTGGCGCCGCTGGTGCGATGGCTTTTGAGGCGCGGAGGCGTCGATGGAGACGTGCGAGAGCGAGAACCCTTTCATTTGCGCATTCGTTTCTCTCGCGGAGAAGGCGTCCGGGAATCTCTCGCCCCGTTTCCTTGTGTTCTGTTGTGGCGTGGTTCGAGGGCGGCTCCATCCGACGGCATGGAGGGCGAGATGAGGGGCGATCGGACGGTGAGAGGGGCGGCCTTATCTCTCTCTTGAGGTTTGGGAAATCAAAACGATGGGTTCTATCCAAGAAGGTGGAGAAAATGTTGCTGGTGGTAATACTTTATCGACGGCGGTCTTCGCGGTCACGGATGATCTTCCAGGTTCAGTTGTACCTGGATGATCTTCGCTTGTGTCGACCGTCCAATCAAGAGGAAATTAAGCCCGTGATTAGTTGGATCCGATCCTGGTTCAACGTGGAGACGAGACGACCGAGCCTACTCCACGTGATTAAGTATATAGTAGAAATTTGGAACCATATGCAAAAGATGTCGAGTTAGTCGGCTGGCACGGAGAAAATTGGATATTTACCATGTTGAATACACGGCTTCGCAAAAAATTCCATTCTCAAGATGGGCTTCGCAAAAATGCCACCTGGTTCATCGACACCTTGATTACCATGCCATTTTTCCTTTTTTATTGATTTTCCTTTTGCTTTTCCATTTACGTGCACCTGAAAGGA